AATAGATTTTGAAATGAAATATTGAACTGTGTTATCATATTTAAACATTTAGTGTTGAAGAAGTTTTCTATAGGCAATTTGCAAATTCAATATTAGGTTTCTTCGAATACATTTGCAGATATAAAAATGTTATACTCTTGAAAAAGATTTAAACGAAGACGTATAGTAATGTCATCCTTGATATTTTTGTTCCAAAAACTTGAATTTTTTATTTCGATTCCGGAAAATGTACCAGACACTTTAAATCCTTCAACATTAATAGTAACTATCTTTAAAAAAACCTTCAAGAATCATAACAGATACGCTTTAGAATAGGTCTCAGATAGTAAAAGTTCTTAACTCAATACATTTGGTGGTAAATTGTGTTTATAGAATATAATTTTTTTTTTAAATGGGTGGAAAATTTTATTTTTGTTATTTTCTATTATAACTTGTAAGATAGAAATACGAAATTGTTGTGAGTCGTAATGTAATCTTATGGGGTAAGTGTGTTGTAAATTGTAAAAAAAAGACGTTTAAATGGCCTGCAAAACCAAACGAAAAATACGGAACGGTCTTTAACAAAAACTTACTCATGGCTTCTCAATGGCCAAAGAACACCCACCATTATGCACCACATGCGCAACTCATTTAACATTTCAAGACATAGTAACAGAATGTTTAAAATACGAAGACGACTTGCCTGAGCAACTATTCGGAATCCTGAGACGCGGCGAAAAAGCGAACACCAAAATATTACATTTCTTGAAAATGCCAAAATTAAACAACTTAATTTAATTTAATAATATACCAAAATAATATTGTTTTAAAAAGAAAATATATAATTAAATAAGTGTACGCTAATGACCATTGCCATTAAAGCATTTTGTTCAATAAAAAAAATGAATAAATAACGATTTTAGTTATTTTGTTGTAATTTAAAAATATTATTCGTGGTTACTTGAAACTCTTAATGTATGTACCTATAATATTATATTTTATACACACAATGCCATTTTCAAATGCAATTTTTTCAACAAAAATAAATTTAACCTACTATAGTACCATATATAGTGCTTATTATACAATAGAATAAATTATTTCAATCACAATAATATAATAAAATATGCGTACCTACTACTATTATAGGCATGACGTTCACCGTCTTCACTCAAAATCGTTTTTCGTGTATAATGATTTTATATCATTAAAAAGTTTGAAAATTCAATACATGATTCTAATGAGATGTTTTATATAACATATTAAAAATATTAAAAATACTCATTATTATTTTTTATGCTTATAATTTCTTTTCAATAATTTTTGTTTGATTGCATTTGAAACAATACAATCTTCTGAAATTGTTTTTATTGTTTTTGAAATTGATTCATATCACTAGAGTATACGTTACAACTGATAACGTTGTATAGTCGTTATCATGCATAAAAATTTACCTCATCAAAAAAAATCGTTAGAAAAACAAATGGTCAAAAAAAAAAATGTTTACAGTCATCAATTAACTTTACTAAAACCACGAGTTATAGACCCATGGTTTAGTTTAGACTATTGAAGAACTTTATTAAAGACTTGTTGTCGAAGATATGAATTATTTCTTTTAATAATTATTACGGCTTTTATTTTTATATATTTTAATACATTTTTATTAGTTATAAGTTATTACTTATAGATATTATTATAGATTCAATTAATATTGGAATTTTCGAAAGTGGTCATTCATCTGATTTGAAATTTGATAGTTGGATTCATTAACAATGTCATCAGGTTAATTAAAATAATAAATTAAGGATTTAAGTGTACTAACTCACAAAATTACTTGACCGACGTTGGTAAAAAATTTGATAGATACCTAGTTCTAAAGAGATATCACAAAAGTTGCGAGAGTACTAGCTGAGTAGTTTGATCCACAGTTTTCGTCCACCACCCGGTGCTCTCTTATGTGGAACAGTAAACCCAATACAAAAATTTAAAATTACAACAGCTGACCAACTAGCCAAGTTTACTTAATATTGTAGATTTCACTCTAAACTGCAACACCATTCCAACCCTTTGGCCCTCTAGTGTCCCACCTATCATCACTTACTTTTCCTGACAACCCACCACGTCACCTCAAGAGGCGTTTGTACCGTAACCTATTAAATGAATATTTATTTAAGATTAAAATCCATCGATAGATGATTTCTCTTATCTTGTGCTTCATGAGTTGTTTTTATATTATGTATGTGTTTAAATCACAGATATATAAACATTAAACATACATAATATGTTTATATATCTGTGGTTTAAATCAGTCATCTTTTTTACTCCATGTGTTATCAAATACAGACTGTTCATTTTCCTAAGTAAAAAAAGGTACTGTTATCACTTATCAGCTTGTGCTTATGAATACTTCATTCGAAAACGTCGAATCAACAATTTGACATATATGAATATATGATAAACAAATCAAAAATTACATGAGCACAAGGTTTTCTGTTAATATTGTAAGATACTGCAATTGGACTTGGTAAAAAAAATAGAAGGTTGAAATTGTCTCATATTTAAATATTTATTATTTATTCAACCCCTAACATATCAACCAAAACTGTTCACCGGCGATTCCTGGTAATTCAGCTAGCAACTACCTACATTAATGTAAAATTTAGTTTTGTAGGCAACTAATATCCACAATATGCGTATATTGCTATGAGTTCTCAATATTATGTCGACCGCATATCCTAGAAGAAATATGATGGTAGATCACATATCCGAGAAACACCGGCCGGATTCTGTAGAAAATGTTTTTTTTTTTGCTAAGAGTGTAATAACTATAGCAGAGGACTTGTAGCTCTAAAAAATCACCAAATATGCACTAAAATGTTCAAAATATGCATTTTAAAATTATTATGCATATTATAATGTATTGAAAATATGCATTAAAAAATAAGATTATTTGTATGAATATATTTTATTTAGATTTTGATGTCTGCGACCGACGTCTCTGTGACCCATATTGATAATATCTTATGTAGTGAACAATATCTGCTCATAAATAAAATTAATAACTGGAAAATAAATCTAATCGGTAATACTCGAGACGTGTCTCTAGGAAAGACATAAGTGTTGGAACAGCCAACAACCATATTAATATTATCAAAATTTAAAATAATTTAAAATTCAACATTACTTTAGTTGTATATTAAATATTTAAATTAAATAAAATGAGATAAATTTTTATTTTTTAAATTTTTTTTTATATTATATTATTTTAAATTTTGATAAGATTAATATGGTTGTTGGCTGTTCCAACACTCATGTTTTTCCTAGAGACACGTCTCGAATATTGCCGATTAGATTTATTTTCCGGTTGTCAATTTTATTTATGAACAGATATTATTCACTGCATGTCTGCATAAGATATTAACAATATGGGTCACGGAGACGTCGGTCGCAGACATCAAAATCTAAATAAAATATATTCATACAAATATAATCTTATTTTTTAATGCATATTCATTTATCTCTTATACTTATTAGTTATTGCTCATTTTTATTATGTAACATATTGTAAATATGAAAATTGATAAAAAAAAGTTAAATAAAAACGTCGACGGTAAAAATATTGATAACATGATAAATTATTGAAAATGCATCTTAATAGAATCGAAGTAAATGCACTAAAACCAAAAAAAAAAACTGGAAATATGTATTTATATGCAAAATAAAATTTCAAAATTAGCTTTGTTTCAGCATAAAACGTATTTGTTTCTTACTCTGCTATTTGTGATAATTAAAAACAAATATGAAAATGCTACAAGTCCTCTGCCCTAATAATAACTAATGGAAACATAATTCTAATACCATAAAAACACGTTTGATATCATTCTGATTACAATGGAGTAGGTAAATTGTATTATGAATTTTTTTTTTCATTTTTTCCAACGTATATTAGATTTATTTACTATTAAAATGGTATATTTATATAATCATATACATATTTAAAAATTTTTAGATTTAGTTTAGTATTTTGGTTTTGGTTCATATTGTATTTTAGAGTGTGTGGGTTATAATGTTATATTCTACTGTGTCACCAAACTCATGTTTGATACTAATTGCAATCACGATTTTGCGTTTTAGAGTTTTAAGCAATTTAATTTTATCATATCTTGGAAGATTTATTTCCCGGTTAATTTATACTGTACAAAGTGTCCAAGATCGATTTTTACTAATTAATTTTCACCGTCCGAAATGTCCGCGGTATATAAAACAACTATAGATAGCGGACTACACATTACATTCCCACAGGAACGTTCAAGTCGTGGGGCCATATTAAGTCAACAGTACAATCGACAATGTTTACAAAATATCTCAATGGATAAGATACCTATTACCCAAACATATTTTTATGATATATATATTACAAATATGTGTATATAATCAATCATGCCATTTTGCCCTGTTGGCATATGGCTGCTGACTTCAATATTATTCTGTAGTCGGCTATCGAGTTATATCGATGGAGGTATGCAACTCAAACAATTGATAGTACAAAGTGTCCGTTTACGGTTTTTCTAAATGGTCCTTTTTTAATAATTTTTAGGTACCTACATAATTCACATGAACATTTCACATATTTCTATAATTTAATTGTATGATTCAGCTGATACTCTTCACATTAATATACGCACAGTGTTGTAATAAATCTAGTAGGTACCATAATTCATATGTTGAATGTAATATGTGTATTGTGTATAGGTAGTCAATAGTCATAGTATATTATTATAATATATTGAACTTTGTGAAAGTTTATTTATTTATTTATTGACAATATAATGGCGTTTACAAAATATGTGCGATTGCGAACTATAATATTTTATAGATACGAATTTTCATACATGGCGTATTAAAATAAATAACAATTTGCTTTTGGTTATCGTATTCATGGACATTTTTGATAAAAATGAAATAACTAGATAGGTATAGGTAGTAGGTACCATATCTACCATACGTAATTGACTAGTGTTATCCTTACATGCCATGGTTATACAAACTATTGACAGCTATAAATGTAACAAAATATAATATTTTCTACGTTTAAATAGTTTGTTGTGCGCGTTAGATTTAACTCGAGCTGCGCACTATATTCAATAACTTTAGACATTATATGAATATGATAGGATTATTGCTATTTTATATAATATGATATGACAGCGTACGCCGGAAAAAATAAAAACCTTGACTAAAAATTACTGAGATACACTCTCGCCAATAATTGTTAGGAAGGTAATTTTTATACTGATCGATGGCGACTTTAATATAAACTGGTCCAAAAAGTACTATAATCTTCTTCTCTCCGCGTACGACACTAAAATATCAAAAAATCCAAGTATCTCTTTGGCTCTCCTCTCGATTATGATTTTATTGTTGCGAATTGGCCATCTTCGGATTATCGATAGCCGGTAGGTATACATTGCACTGGTCGTTCATAATATCAGAATACAGATCGCGCGCCGCACATAACACGTGTAGCCCGGTGTAGGCCACGCAAATACCTGTGTACCTAATTTGTTGTATTACGCCGATTTATAGTATTCAGGCGAAAGCGTTTGCGTTCAGGCGCGCGAGCAGGTGTGTGTGTGTGTGTGTGTGTGTGTGTGTGTGTGTGTGTGTGTGTGTGTGTGTGTGTGTGTGTGTGTGTGTGGTATTGCGACCTACTGTTGTTTTTTTTGTAACTTTTTTTTTAAAACCATTGTTTTCTGCGCGTCCGAGAATAATTCAAATAATTGTAATTGGGGGTGAAACCACCCTATCCCTCCTACTATCAAGCACTCCGTGTCTCTAAAAACACACATACATGTCATACATATTATACTTATAATAATATAATACATGAATATGCAACCATTCAGTAAGGCAGTGAGGCGGTGGTCGACATGCGTGTCGCGACAAACCCGCTGCAAACGACCGCTTGTTCATCGATCTGTTCGTGGAAATAATTAACTGAACGCGAGTACACCTTGAGTTCGATGCACTTTCCGGGCGCTACTGCTGCTGTCTTCCTCTGCTTGTTTTTAACGTTGTTGTGGCCGCCACGGACGCCGAAGTTCTTTCGGCATGCCGCTTTTCTGTCCACGTCGTATTCCATGATGGTTCCGAACGGATTCTTGCTCGTCGCGATTTCCTCAGACGGTCGGGCGGCTCCGTCCCCCTTCCGGCGCCCGTCATTGTCACTGTCGTCCCAACAGTCAGCGCCACATCTGCGTCGGTGACCGGCCGCCGCGGCTTCCACAGCGGCCACCACGTCGTCCGACACGGCGGCGGCGGTACCGTCACCGCGCTTACCGCCCTCCACGATTACAACCTTGATGAGCGGTACCACCGAGTCACATATCTCACTCACTTCCCTGGCCAGTTCGAACTTCTCGAATAGGCTCATGTTGCCGTTGCGCTCGAACGCCGCGTGCTTGTCGCTGAAAGCGAACAACTGCGTCACGCTCAGCGCGTAATAGTCGCCGAACAGTCTGGACAGCTCGCCGTACGTCTCGGTCAGCGTCTGCAATTACACACGAAAAACGATATTAAAATATTGTGAATTGTGAATTGTGATACGCGTCGCTGCTCCTGCTCATGTGCAGCGGTGGCGAGTATAAGCGCCTTAAGTGCAATATAATAATGTAAGCTCATATTGTCTTACATATTATATTAGATTATATCCACAACACCTAAAACCAATCCACTCTCGTATTTCATGGCATTAAATGTTGTACAGTGTACTGGGTGATCACCTTGTACGTGCATATACACATACACATACATACGATAAAGGTACAATATGTATTATAGGTACCTACTGCAAATTTTACTCTTCTTCACGCGTCTCTCTTGTTGTCTATATTAGTTCAATGATTGCACAACTGCAGTACTTTAAAACCTAATACTCTAATGAATTGGCTGTTCCGGATTTGTTGGAAACACACACATCGACAAATTCGATTTTCGTTTTGAATTTGAGCAACCAAATAAATACTATCAACTATAATAATAATATTACAGATATATAAAATACAGCAGAATAGTAGATGACACATTTCAGAAAGGCTGCTTATTTAAAAAAAAAAATTGCCAAGTATTTTATTAATATAATTGATAAGGATAGCAAGGCGAAGCATCCTGTATATTATTATGTCTAGACGTGATACAAAGAAATATGAAAGAGTACTAAACGTTTTTAACATCCTTTTTTTCTTTGTGTGTAACCAACTGTGGCGGACGGTGCTATATCCAATTACAGTATTTTTAATGTTACAATTGTCATCAATCCTATATATTGTATTACGATATATTTTTATATGATTTTCGCACCAATTATAGAAATGTTTCTAAACATTTCGATATTTTACGACTGATTCATTATATAACCACCATTAATCTAGCTACATTTTCTACAACATACACGGTTTTATCAGATGCTTTTTTAATAAGTACCTATATCTAATTAGTCTATAACTTATAAGACACCACCAAAAATCAAATATTTTTCATGATAAATTAGGTACTCACATAATTTATGTTACTTTTTATTTTATGATACATTTACAAGGTAGGTATATGCATTGGGAGTGCGTTTTTTTGTTTGTTGATGTAAGAGTCAAAAATAATATCAACCGAATTCTTGGTCAGGTTGAATATAATATATTATACGTAGTCATAAATTAAAATGCAACCTTTAACACAGAAATATGACATTAGTGGTGTTTATTAGTACGTATAGCTGCATATCTGTATGTCTGCAGACGTGTGTGTATAACAAAGTAGTAAGTGAGTTGAAGGTACGATTATTATTTTAATCTGAAACAACTTCATTGGTTTGTGACTTGTTAAGAATTTATAAGAAAAGATTACATTAAATATCATTATTAATATTTAATAACGATGTCATTCACACCGGTCTCCTCATACTGGGGAAGTTCATGGTTATAAATACAAACGAATTTTTTGTTCTTATAAACATCAAATATTTTATTCTTAACGATCGGTTCTCAATAGATGAATTATATATATACATTTAGTTTTAGATGTGCAGTGTATTTTTATTTAATTTAACAATTATTATCTTAACGCTACAGCTTGCATAGCAATGACAACTACAATTCAAAAACAGAGCTTAAAATCGAAATCAATTGATAACGCATAACTCTAATATTACATTTTTCAAGCATAAATTATGCACACATATAATTTACTGCAGACATCTTAACAACTAAAATAAAGTACGTCACACGACTCACACGTAATTACGTAATAAATGTCACGTTAAATTACGTATATGAGTTGGCATAATATCATACCGTAATTCGAGTGTATACCTATATTATACTTGTATAATAGTAGGTACCTATATTAGGAAAAATTATAAATATTCAAAGATAGTAGATATTATGGATTATGTTTACAATCGATATTGGCCTCGATCGGGTATTTGTTCGAGAAAAGAGTATAGAAGAAAAAATGCAATTAAGTGTACTCGAGTTTACCGTAAACAACCATACAATAACGGATTGCGTTTCGAGTGATATCTTTGTGTATAAGTTATGTAAATTATTATTATATACAAGATAGTGTTATATTATGACATTGTGCGTTTCGAATGCGATTATCTGACTTTTCACACGTACCTCCTGACACAGGTCGAACAGCCTGTTCCAACGTGCACTGTTGGAGTCCTTCTCGGTGGCTAGCATGACCGCCAACTTCTTGGATATACCTTTTAGCTTGTACACCCGAAAAATCGGCAGAAGCGCTCGTTCCATGTAAAAGTGTTCGCTGTACACATCCGCGTATATATCGTCCACGCTCTCTCTAAATGATAATGAAAAAGTGGAGGTCATTATAAAATGTATTTAATGGTGACAGAAGGGTAGTGTCGAAATTATTAGCAACGTAAAACTATAGAATACGTCCTATTAATTTGAGCATTGAAGCAATCAAATATTGCAAGTTATTTTATTATTAACTCTAGGTTGTAGGTACACTTGCAATTTGCCTACAAAGATAATGAAAAAGTTTATTAGATTTGGAGGATATGTCATAAGTCGTGTGATTGAATTAAGCATTATTAAGAGGATGTCAGCGAAATGTTTGTTTTCTCTCTTTGGCCCAAGCGCAACATAAACAAAACACACTTACGCAGAAAAGTTTTTTTATGTTTTTGAGTAATATTAGAGTCAAATTGCCCATTACAAAAATGTTAGAGGATAATATTTTTGAGGGATTGATACATCAATTATTCTAAATATTGTCCCAAACAATTTAAACACCATTTAAATTTATAACAAATTGATTTTATTTTGAAAGTTGAATAATAATAAAAAATAAAATCGATATGTAATACCCTCGAAAATATTATCATCTATAATTTGTGTAACAAGTGATTATACTCTAAAATGACTAAAAACCATACAAATTATTTTAGGTGAAATCGTTATATCGATGCTGCTCGTTGGTCTAAGAAAGAAAACAAATATTGCACTGACATCTTCTTAATACATTTTAATATCATGAAACAATTCAATTAATAACCTATTAATTAACCTAACCTATGATACTAGGTATGAAGAGGTCTTGCAACAATAGTAATTCATTTTAATAATCAATTTATAACAGCAGCTCATTATAAGATAATATCACATTTTAAATTTACATTGACTTACTATTTTTATATATTTTTGAATGGATAAAAAAAACTTTTCAAACGTCCGTTTAAAAAAAAATCTTATACCTAACATTAAATGTCTAGTTTTTTTTTTGGTATTGCCTAATTTTAATGTTCTTCGACAAATGTCTGCATTGTTCAATAATCTCCATTAACCCTTAAAATCTTTAAGTATATTATATTACAAGCTGTCAGGCAAACAATAATAAATACTTTCGTATGGACAATTAAAATCTGAGTAAGCCACCATCATATTTTAAAATCTACCTATGTAATATATTACTTACAAATTATTTCGCAAAAAAGGCCTAAAATCCCGTAAGAGATGGCAGTAGGTAATCATTCGCGTCCTCGCTACTGATTTCAAGTGTTTAATTAATAAATCAGCTAGATCGTCCAAACTTTGTAATACCATAGGAGCGTCTGGCCACATGTCTTCTACATCATGCAAAAGAGTATCTGAACTCTCCTTCACTAAAAAATGAACCATACTCCGTTATAATAAACCAATTACGAAATATTATTGTTAGGTCATCAAACAAAATCTTGCTTACATTTGGACAACGTTTGTTCAATTAACGATTTGTCGTCCATCAGAAAATAATCAGGCCACAATGCTCGTTTTTTAAAAGCAACCAACATTTTGTCCATTTCTCTGTTATAAGCCATTTCGTTTTCCAAGATTGATAATCGAACTCTGACTAAAATTGAGTCTATATCGTTTATTCCACAAAGCATTTCTAGAAAAAATATTCAGCGATTGTACCTCACAATAGCAATAATAAATATATAAGTTTAAATAGTTGTGTGTGCGTTAAAGTAATAAGCAAGTGTTATTAAGTTAATTATTAAATTAACTTGATTAACTTACCCTGGTTTACTTGAGTAAGTATCATGGGTAATTTTTCCCAACTTATTATTTCTTGTAGTGAACGGCTCCGAGAAAATGGCATACGTGCAGGCTTTGATAGTTTATTACTGGGCACCTGAAAGTTTGTAAATCAATTACAAAAAAAAATTAATGAATAATACAATACTATTATTTTTATCTATATAATAAATATATATACTTTATAAGATTTATCTAGATGGTTTTAAAATTGTGCACTGAAATTACATTTAAATACTTCATTTCTATCTTCCAGATACATATTTTGCATATTATATTAAAGTATAATATCATATTATTATATATAAAATATAAATATCTATGTATGTATTATAATGTATGTAAGAATGGTGGTCGTACCTGTTGATTTATCCTAGTCAATGGCTCATATGGAGCTGAAAATAAAATACGAAATTTCAATTGAAAAATCAACATACTATTAGAGATTTGAAAAAGTCAATTTACATCTGAGTTGAGATTTTTGATTAAGGTATTGAAAATAAGTCTCTTCATTCCAAGCTTCTTTTACTTGTCGCAATCGTTTCTTCCAAGCGATTAGTTGTTTCTCTGTGTTGAATTTAATCTTAAACCAATCTAATTTAGCTATGTTTTTTATATGCAAGACTAAGTGACTTCCGTCGCAAATTCTTCGACATACTGCCAGGTCTCTCACTGCATGAATTTTTGTCCTTCGGGGATCTTGATCATCCCTATAAATAAAAGTAATAAATGAAAACATAAAACAAAGCAATTATTTTAACTGTAATTCATTATTTTTTTAAATGTAGTTAAAATACTTTAATTACTTTTTTATACTTGAAAAAATTATAAATACATGTAATTCTCGAATTTTACATTGCCTTTATTCTTTTTAAGATTTTTAGATTCAGAACGAAGAGATATATTTTTCGATTTATGTAAGATAAAATGTTTGTTTTTTTAATAAAAATGTTTGTCATTTAATACAATAGTTCCAAATTAATAGACTCTCACTAAAAAATATATCAAAAATAAATTCTTACAATTTTTTATAAGCTTTTAATTTTTTACAAAATCTATCAAAACCAAGAACATTTTAACAGTTAAAATTCATAAAAAAAATGTACAAGTGATAAAACTAAATGTCAATGATTTGGGGTATTAAAATGTATTATGATGATTTATTCCCTAATAATTTGTATTACTTTACTATTTAAAAAAAAAACAGCTATTACACCCATCATAAATTATAAAAGTGTATGCGATTCGTTTTCAACTAAAATTAGTTCAACTTACTAAATTACTAGTAGCATCAGAGGTGTCCCAAGAGGGTTCCAAATAAGGCAAGTGATTATACAGCCTAGGAATATGTAATATGTAGGTATGTTTAATAGGAGTGAAAAATATTACTGTCCTGGTCTTAGGGCCTTATTTAGAAATTATGCACCGTAGTGCACTTATAAAATTCTGCCCTTCTTTTTGGTGGCAGAGGGGGGGATGTCCACTGTACAAAAAAAAATTATAAATACCTACCTATATAAAATTATAAAACGTAACTTGTATTTTAAATAAAGGAACGAATTCACTTAAGTTACCAAGCGTTTCTCTCATTTTTTTTTTAAACATGTACTTACTTCAACGGGTTAGGATCGATGGTGCAAAAAAAATTGCAGAGATACTTTAGGAAGTTATATCTTTCCAAGGTTTGCAATTTTCTATTTTTGATTAATTATAGGTGCTTATTTATAATCTTTTTGAATAAAATTGAACGATATTATATAGTCTGTTATTTTACGCACGTTCAACATTAAATTTTGATAATTAATATCGCAACTTCAGAACAATAAACAAATAAGTATAACGTAAAAGTACAACTAACATATTTATTATTATTATGTTTTTTTTTACAAGGCTACTAAGCTAGCTGCATGCTGCATTCTGTGTAATGTCGTTATCTAATATCCAATAAATTATTGGTATAAAAATATATTTGAGCGAATGTCCCAAAATAAACTTAGGATAAATCTCCACCAAATCCCATAAACACATAAGAAAAAAACATTTAGCATAATTTTAAAGCAAAAGTTATGTTGGCATAAACCATAATAAAAGTTAATACAATTTTACCGCCCCCGAGTTACACCAGGGCATAAGCCCACCCACTCACTCTAAATACGAACCCACTGGTGCTCCAGTGAAAATTATAGCATGGCACTGAGTAGCAATATAAATACGTAAATAGTAAAAATATCCTTAGAAATATAGGCTGACAGTCTGTCTCTAGCCCCTTCTAAGAATCATTTATTCGTGTGTAATTTTTTTTTTTTTGCTAAACCCATTATCGACTTTTGATTTTCTACGCTTTTCAAAATAATGAATGTTACCTGTTTAAACGATTATTCTATATATTATCTAATATATGATTTTGAGATTGTTTTTAATATTATTACAGTAGTTACCCATAAATCCAAAGTGTACTGTTGCTGAGCACGACAAATCTCTGCCTCCAATCAGGGTCTCCAACTACTTTCACCATCAAAATATCGCAAAAACTTGATATGGTTGACATCTTGTTCTAAAATATATATATTTGAATAAATTAGCCTGAAATTCTCAAACACATAGAAAGGTACATAATAGGGTGGTCCTAAAATTTCAACTGTAAAAATTTGGTATTACGATCCATATGTACTACATATATTTTAACTCTCGTTAAAAAAAAGTTTTATACATTATACACCAATACCTATTATGTCGTATAATAGATGATTATAGGTTACTTTTACACACTTCAACTAAAGAATTTTAATTTCATTACACTTTATGAATATGAGTAACTATTGAAAATCTATGCTAAGTATCTTCTTTTAATTTTTCTACATTAAATCAACAATAATATTTTATGCTTTATGTTTCTAAATATCATGATAATTTTCAGTTTACAAATTAAACATTTTTTCTTACACAAATTTTTAACTGTTGGAGAATCCATTATGAGTCACTTGGAGTGCTCGATGAATTGACACAGTTTTACTTCAAAACATAATAGTTAGTACTTTTTTTTTCGTTAAAGTCCTATGAAATAATATTAAAAACTACGTCGTTAAAAATAACGAAATAACTATAACATAATATGTGCTATGTTCTATGACATCCATATTACAGGTAGGTAAACGAGCTAAACTATAATTTGTATACTTAGGTGCCAGGTATAAGAAGCATAATATTATATATGTATATATAACATATTACTTTGGGTACTCATATATTATTTTTATAATTATATATAAAGTTATTACAAAATAGGTAGCTTATTATATTTTGTTATTGTATCCAATACAACTAATTTAACAAATTCATCGTCAAAAGGAAAATGTTCAGATTAACGTTTTTTTTTTTTTTTAATTATTAATTATGAATTATAAAGTTTCATTTTTTCTTAGTCGTCTAAAAATAGTGCTTAACTAGATAAACACATTTTAACACAATATGGCATAAAATATATTAATAATATAATAATTATTGTCAAACTATACAGATAACGTATCCAACCTAGTTACCTACCTAAATAAAATCGGAGTAGTAAATTTTTACACCTTATTATTTGGTTTTTAATTTAAACATACCTAGCCTTATACTTGGGATTATTGTTATGCTCGGTATTGGATATTATTATAATGACTCATTAAACATAAATCAATAATTTATATTTTATTTATGCAAATTAATTTTACAATACATCAATATCTACTCGACAAGCATATTGAAATACTCCTCTTGAACTAATCACTTGATATTTGTCAAATATGTCACGTAGGCCCAATATATAATAGAATATAATGTGAACACTCATAGAAATAACAATATATATTACCTAATACCTATATTGTAATAATTGTTTAAGTTTGTAAGTATGCACTATATGTAAGCATATCCGGTAGTCGTAGTTTTATAAAATGTTCACATGTTTTATGATTTCAACAACTGCTTACTGGAAAGTAATATTGTATTTAATAATAGGATAAATACCAAAATACAGCGAGGAATAAAAAGTTGTACTTCGTAATTGAACGCAGCTGCTGGCCAATTAATATAATATTGTTTTTTGTATAATAATACTAGACAACTCTACAGCTATAATAAGAAATGTACAAGAAATCTTTGAATTGATTTTGTAACGACTGTAGGTATTGAATTAATCATTATTAATATTAAATCCATTGATTAAACGAATCAACAATTAAAAAAAAAATGATTACAACTTCTTTATCAAGACATACCTATAGGCTATAACTACACACAATTATGAATAAACAGCATCGAACCTACCAATTAAACATAAACATGAGCTTTTATAACATTACATTTTTATTATATTATCATAAAACAAATACAATTATTTATTTGTTGGGCCAAAACGCATTACATTCTAACGATAACACAATTAGGTAGGTGCACAATATGTATGACAAAAAACTATTTTATTATATAGCATTTTAAAATAGAGAATGACGTCAATATACTTTGAATATTAAGTTAAAATGATATTAACACATAATTAATTGTCAAGATTAACAGAAGGTATTATCAGAGGACATTTTTAACTAATATTTTTATTTTTAAGATTAATGGCTGTAATATAGTGACAGTTAGTATTTAGTGATAATACACCCATTGTCTACCAACGCAAAATGTTATTGAATAATTAGATAAGTTCGATATCAGTAAAAATAAAAAATTTAAAAATCCAAGTAGGAGATTTATTCCTTAAATCCCCACAGTGAAACTGCCTATAAAGTAGTATAGATAACTTTCTTGTTATTGTGTTCTTAGCTATATTATTTAATTACATTTATACACATGAGTGAGCGACCAATAGGTTTTAAATGACAATCCGAAAAATCAATAACATACTCTTTGTTGTTATCATTCGTGAAGTAAAATGAAATGTAAGTGGCTTTATGGGAGTCGAAAATGGCTATAGTTTTGTGATCACTGATCACTTAATCCGTGTGAATAGAAACTTATAAGTAATAACTGTACTGTGCAAAAAATATTTTTTTTTATTGAAAGAAATTTAGTAGAAAAACAGAAATTTGAACGTTAGCAAATAATACATTATGTTAACTTATTTGTGTTTAAATATCCTGTATATCTTACAAAAATAAAAATAAATTTAAGAACTCGTCAAACGTATAAGAAAAATGTATTAAGTGTTTAAGTGATAATTGACAAGGACAACAAAATGTATGTATATAGGTATAATATAATATACACATTGTATACATGATTTTATAATAATGTACAATGTTGAACGTACCTACCTATCCTTTTTTCATAGTCGATGATGTTCTACAAATAAACACTGTATAAATATTACGTAATTATGAAATACTGTAATACCTACTTATTTTTATACTAGTCCATTTATAAAGTATAAAATGTTGAGCCGTTTACGAGTATGAAGCGTATCTATTTACGGTGATAGCTGACCTTATACCTAGCATTATAGCTATACAATAGATTGACCGTAATTTAAACAACACATGCCTATAAAAAAATTGTTTGAATACACTGAATAGGACTCAACAAGATCTACAAGATCCAACGAGACCTTCCATATTTCAACTTCCCTTAAAAGTGTCTATAAACAAATGATCCCTTAGTCAGAATTCTGCAATCTTTAAAATATTTTTATGGTAATATTGGTATTTTTCTTTAATTTTGTTAACTACTTAACTACCTACTTGTAATTGTGTAACTATAATTGTAAACCATATATCACATATTTTATTAATGCAATAGCCATTTTTTTGTATTATTTCATATTTCATCCACATAATGATCTGACTGACATTTATATCCATAAATTAAATAAATGAATTAGGTGTAGATTTCAATTAAAAAAAACAATCATCATCTATTAAATTCACCAAAAGAAAATGACACGTGTTATCGCGTATGCATAGATATAATATAATAATTTTCGCGGCAGTAATGCGAAAGCAGTTCCCGCGGCGCCGTCGGTTCAAACACGAAAAAAAAGATATAATATAATATATAGAACCAACTACGGACAGCAGTCATTAATATTCATTAATAAATAGTTTTTCCGGCTTTCGACAAGTCAATGGATTCTTTTGTATCCAACTTATTAATAGGTACATTACATAATATACTTCATACGTAACATTTTATTAGATATATCGTATATGTTTAAAGTAAAGAAAACAGTATAAAACGATGACGTTATCGTATGTAATATATTATGATACATCACGGTAGTGTTTCTGATAATCAGGTGTTTCGAAATATTATATTTGAGTTAAATACCAAAAATGTTCCAACTGGTTGCCTTCCATATTATTGAAATAAGAAGTGGTTCATAAACTTCACTAAAATATACTGATATACCACACGTAAATATAAAATATACATATAGATAAATTTATGTATACATAATTGTACAATGCATGAGAAGGTAAGTACATAATATTATATTGTGTTGAAGCTTGTAATCACAAATAAAAAAACAAAATAATGAATATATTTTAGATTCTGCGATGGATGTATTGATGTATTGATTTTACAACGATGTATAACTTTATATTTATTTATTTATTTAATTTATTTTGTGTCAAAAGATGTTTCTGATAGGAACATGAATTTAGTTGGTCTAGAGGTCAAAATTTTAAATTCCCAATAGTTTTCAAAATCAACAGGAAAAACCACAAAAATTTAAGGAAAAACGGGGATTTTTCGAACAGATCGATTTTGGTTTTTAGTGTAACTCTAATAAAAATGACCGTAGATACATGAATTTTTCACTGAATATTTGTGTTAGCATTTTCTATACACCATACAATTTTAAAAATATTTTTATTTGAGTTGAACTATTTATAAGCATATGCAATTTTCGATTATTATTTTTTTTTTAAATCGCTCCGTCAAAAAGCTTGTAAGTGTAATACACGGTTTCTCGTAAGTTCATAGAAATTACAAACAAATCTGAGCGTAAATCCACAATATTTTTGTATGAGCGTTTGAAGTGACAAAATTGAAAAAATTCGTAAAAATCAAGAAAATTTACAAATTATATTTAGTTAGAAATTCATAAAAAAATTTTCTTTTTATATCTAAGATTTAAAAATGTAATACAAGATTTTTTATAAGCTTATCTACCTTTATCAAAAAAAAAAAAATTCTACGGGAAGGTCTAATTAAATTTTTATGAGGGTTTGAAGTTGAAATTTGTTCAACATTGGATATTCATTCGATTCCTCTTGCAGCGATTTTCTTACATTGTTGTAATTCAAAAAAAAATTACTGTAGACACATGCAATTTACACCATATATTTATTTTATCAATTTATATACTTGATCAAGTTTTCAAAATATTTTGATACGTTTTGAGCTGTTTACGGGAATTTTACAATTTTTACAAATTTTAATCAGTTTTTTCCGTATCTAAAAAATCTAAGAAATTTATAAATCAGTTATTTTTTACAGACATTTTAAGTTCAAACTTGGATAAAATTTCATATTAACACAAAGAATAACGTTTATCATTTTGTGTTAATTGGGTTTCAAAACAGCCCAATTTTACATAGGTATATTTAATATTTTTCCATCATCACTGATAATTTAAATATAATGTTTATTCAACTTACCGGCTATCATATTAATAATAAGTAATAACAATATAAATTATCCTATACTGATATACTGACATACCGTCTCTGCTCAGAATCGTTTTCCGTATACCTACAATGATAATATGATATCATTGAATTCAAATTCAATACCAATCATTACAGCAACTTCTTAAACACCGTATGTACAACAGAGCGACATCCATTTACCTTCTTTTGTGTGTGTGTCAAAATTCCTATAAGTTTTTAAGCATTTTTAGCGTCCAGAAAAACAAACAATAAATTAAAGAAAAACTAAGATTTTAACGCAAAATCAGTTTTAAAATAAAAAATTATGTTATTTAGTGTAACTTTAAAAAAATAACCGTAAATAGGTGGAATTTTCACTGAATTTTTATATAAGTAATTTCTGTGCACCATAACATTTTGAAATATTGAGATTTTTTTTGAGCTATTTATAGACATAAGAAAAATTCGAGTTTTCTTAGTTTTTTTCAAATTATTATCGATACAACATTTATCGTTAGATTAAAGAACTAGGAAATGCAATACAAAGTTCCTTGTACATTTTATTTTATTCTATGTTTTTACATAGCCGGTGACATATTTTAAAGATCTATTGGTACGATTTTATTTATAAGTATTTAAAGCTCAAATATTGACAACATTTATCATCATTTTCAAATTATTTTGTTATTAATAAAAATTATAAAATGTTCAATTTGCATAGCTAAAAGTGCAAATTTTAAACAAGGCATAATTGATAGTGTAATCGAAAAATCTAAAAATATGTAAACATAGTTATTTTTTACTGAATTATAAGTTCAAAATCGATCGAAGTTTCATATTAAAACCGAGAATAACGATTTTAGTTATTTTATTATAATTTAAAAATATTATTCGTGAGTATTTGAGACATTTGGAGTATATTATTATATTATATACTTTTTGGTATATTAAACATCGCTGGAGGTATAGGAAGGAAAGTATGTAGATACTACAATTAACTTGTTCAATAATTTTTTTTTGATTTTTTGAATTATGTGTACAATTTATTATTAATAAATATCAGTCTACTTATGTATATATTATAAACATTTTTACAAAAAAATACACAACTATAAGAAATTACAATATAATTAGTCAAAAAACAAAATGGATATAACTTGAATTAAGCCTACGATCATGTGTGTAGTTTATTTTCCAAAAAATTATTTAACCCGTTAAAACAAAAAAAAATATTATATTATAGTAAATCAAACTACCAAAGACCAGAGTAAAATGTAATGTCATATATTTTCCTAAAAGAAAAAAATCTTTTCTAAAATGTTCGAAATGAGTAGTAGCAATAATATAAAAATAGTTAAAATAATTATTATAATAAATTATCTACTATGATACTGATAGGTACATAGGATGATAATCCAATCCAATATAACTTTTAAGTCAATAGATTTATAATTGCTTAAAGGTAATAAAGAGCACGTGTGTTTGATTAATACTTGAAAGTTGACATAAAGAATAAAGTCTATGAAATAATAATTTTTGCCACAAGTTCTTGAAATTACCAATAATTTTCCATACATTTTATTCCATATTTATATCATTCTTTCCATCTAAATATTTTAACATTTAAGCAATTTTTGTAAAAAACATTTTAAAAAGGTTACAGTCTATTCAACATAACATAAAATGTGACATATTTACCTTCAATAAGATTAGTGTCTTTGTCACAATATTATGTCAACATCAACTAAACGCTAAATGGTAATAATGCAGGTATAGTGTATGATATATTTTTACAAAGATTCTGAGTATAGTTAACAATAACTTATATTTTTCTTAAAACATAATATATAGGCAGTTGTAGCATATTGTAAAAGTCAAGAATAACTGTTTAATATGACAAATATTGTTACCAATCGGACAGATTCAGGCTTAAAATTTCAAAATATCTAATATACATTATAATATATAATCATAATACATTATGTCACCACCCATTAAAAGTGCAGACACTTTTTACGGTCGGGTAAAACTTTATCAAATAAATAATTCTCATCAAACTTTATAAAATTATACATAATATACATGTTGATGCTTTTATTTACATAATATATACGTATATACATTATGTACATTATAATAGGTGGTAAATAATAAATATGTATAGACCCGTATTCAACAGAACAGAAATAGGAAATAAGAACGAACGCCCAACTGTACCAGCTTTACAAAAGAAAAGATGTTGTCCAATTCACCAGAGGGATAAGGATAGAATGGGCAGGCCATGTATGGCAGGCAGATGGAAGTATTTTGGAAGTATGTTGAAAGGAGCATTAACGTATATGGCAAGGGGAAAGAGACCTTGGGGAAGACCGTGAAAAAGATGGAAAGACAGCGTCAAGGAATTATTAGAAGAAAGTGGAGTGGACTGAGTGCGGGTATAATATGATAGAAAGCGATTGAAGGAAGTAATTTTGGCGACCAAGAGTCTAAATGGCTCGTAAAAGCCCCAAAAAAATAATAATAGGTAGTACAAACTACAGTGTCAGCGTTCTGCGATATACATTTTTACCTGACCGTAGTACCGTACAACCTTTTGCCTACAAAAATATCTAGAAATTTATCTGAAAATAAATTGTTTAAATTTAACTCTCTTTAGCTTCATATTTTTATCCTGAAACCCCATATTTGAAAAATCTTGAAATAATTACAAAAGTTAGGATTGTATAATGTTCCGTTCAGAATAGCCAAAGATAAATCACAAGTGTTCAATTAAAAGGTACAATAGTCAATAAGTGAACACTTTTTTAAACCAAATCGTTTTCTTTATAATATTTTTTTTTTTTTTTTATTGAATCTTAAGCTTCGGCAACTGAGGCCATTAGCTGTAGTAGGATTTGTATTGTAGGTTTTTTGTATTGTATATTTTTGGGACGGTAGGGGGGAACACGTGTGTGTTTGTTTTGGCAGAATTTCGAATGGGGCACCCGTAGGTTTCTGCCATGCCCCGGGGGTGGGGGATGGCAGCACTTGTTCTCCGGTCACCGCGACTTGTCCAGAGAAAAGTGCCGCCCGGTAGCCGAGGATCGAACCACGACCGGCTGCGTCGCAGCGGACGCGTCAGACCACTCGGTCACCTCATCCCCCTTTATAATATTATTTCAGTTCCAAACCATTAGCATTATAACAGCATAGTTCATATACATGTTTAAATAGATTTAAATCATGATAAAAAACCAATTAATGAATGTAAAAAAATACAGTTTTTGCTCTATCCTGTAATTTTTTTTTAAAGTAATTTGGAAGGTGTCCTATACAGAAAATCTATGAAATATCAATGATCCCTGCATAAATCTATAACTCTATTACAACTACTTTTTGATATATAGTTACTAAACTAGATGGAGAGTGATCAACTAACGAGCTGAAAATATTCTGTACACTGTCTAGTGTCTATATTAGATAACGATATGATATAAATATGTAATTTAACAAGTGTACTATATAGCTCTACCAAAATTTCTACCCATATAAATAATAAGTATACTATACCTAAAACATGAGTTTTCCAATGACTAAATAAATTATATTTTTAAAGAAATTATGAATGAATTATTAACACATAATTATTTACTTATAAGTTATATAGTGTTATAATTCACTGTTTTTAGTATGCAGGGTGTACGTTGAATTTAATGTAGCAGCTAATTATCTTATAAGTACGTTCGATATTTCCAACAGTATAATATATAAATAAAATTGATACACATTCTGTAAATATTACCATATTATAATTCATAACATTATTATTCCCATAGGTGCTTAGTCACAAAAACGGGGTGTGCACATAAATCTAACCACACATACAGCCAAAAATGTATATTATTATTTTATTTTATTCTAATATAATTATTATTATTTATGTTATAGTTGTTATTCACTTATTCCACAACATACCGTCGTCACGGAGACATTTATCGAGAATTCGAGAGCAAGTTGTGCATACCACACTATACATAATTTAATAAAACATTATTTTGATTGGCTCCTAAATCGCGTGAAACCCGAGTTTTATATTAAACATATTCATCTACTATCTATCTATATTGTTAAGTGCAGCTGATATGACCAGGAACCCAACCACCAACCCTCCCCTCACCGAAAAAAAACTCGAGTATTTACCTCTTGTATTATATATATTATATATTAAACGACTGTTCAAAGTTTTGTGAACGAGTGAAAAACAATTAACAATAATATAATATATAGTAATAGTAATAATAATGATATTAAGTATAAAATAGTGTAATCTCGACGGTACCTTTTTTCCAGCAGATCCGACGCATATAGGTTGTATACCACTGGTGGTATAATAATATGTCGCATATAATAGGTATAGATAGTGTCGGGCGGATGGACGTCCGATCGGCGAAGGAGGGTGGTTTTTGTGTAACAACAAAATATTATTTATGCGGGTATGAACGGCGGTGGTGGTGGTGGCAGCGGCGGCGGCGACATCGACGGCCAGGTACCCGGAAAAGGTACCATATACTCGAGCACGCGTAATCACTTAAGGACACAGGAGAGATCCAGCGATCGGATCGGCCGCAGTGGTGAGACGCGACGCGGCTACATATTATCATCTGTGGTCGCAGGCGGTGGAGCTCGTCGTTTTTATATAGGCACGGCGCGCGCGTTCGTTTGTGTATCGACCGGAGCGCCGCCGTCTATCCGAAACATTGATACGCAGGAGAGCAGTGGAAACGGCGGCGGCGGCGGGCGAACGACGGAGCGCCATCTGTGCGGGTCGTCGAGGCGACTACGCTACTTGACGACGGAAAAGCTGGTAGAAGCTGGTTACGGGAAACTTTCAAACAATCAAATATTTGCACGGGCAAAACACGCGATTACATTAATTTAATATTAAGTGATGTTCACTCCGTGTCAATTTTGACTCATATAAAGGTAGGCGGTACTTGGGTACTACAATAACTTAAACGTTTGTTCTCGCACACGCATCGAAATATTAGTATGTACCTATATTGTTAAATGTTAAAACGCATTAACGTATATTATTGTTTCGGTTTTTTTTTTTTTTTAATTATTATTATTGTCATCGCAACATGACAAATAAACGTACGCATTTAGGAAGCAACGCACTTTGTTTTGATATTATTGCTACACGTCATCGTCTAATGTATGTAACATCATTGCATTGTTCGACAGCAGGCCTTTTTTCGGCATTTCTCGATGCGCAATAGCGACAGCTGCGTCCGTATATATATTATAGTCCGACAGTCCGTGTTTATATTATGATTCAGAGTTTCAACCAATTTTGGACGCGATCTTCTCAAAAATATTTGTGACGGCTATGGGAAATTGTAAATGTCTGTTGTAATGCACATTGTAATAATATTAACATCGATACGGATGAGATTTGTTTTAACAGTATTAGTGTACTACAGTGTTGGTATTATAATTGGTTTAAAATGTTACATCTACATTTTAGGGATGCGAGGGAGTGCCTAGTACTAGTTACACACAAACACTTATAAATGCCTGTATGTATATTTTCACTCATTTTGTTGGTAAAGTTATCGATTTTTCGTATATTTTAACGATTATTTAAGATCCAAAACTAGATGAGACCCCAACGAACATAAAGCTGAATCACAATACTATAAAATAAAAATGTATGTGTAAAATGTAAGAAAACCTTAAGTCAGTTTGAACTAATAATTTAGAAATACAAGGTTGTAATCATTTGGTAAATTTAATGGAAACTTCTATAGCTATACAAATAAGATAAGATATAAGTAGGTACAAGCAAATATTGAAGAAAACACTGCGGGTATATAAAATATATACCTAATGGCTAATACCTAATGTGCTACAATCACAGCAGCTGCAGCAGCTGCATTATCTTTGTACACTCGTAAAACATACCTAAACCAACCATTGATAGACATTCATTTTACTCACTCAAAAACGTGAAAGGTGTAAGCCGTGAGGGACACTCGATACCTACTTTACAGCAGAAAGAGTTCCCGATTTTTTCCCACAGTATTCTGTTATTTCGGTTCATAGTTTGCCCCGAAAATCGTATTCAGTCGATAATTATTTAATGATACTAAATAGTAAATACCAATGCATATAAATGCAGACTATACCTACACGACCTAATCGTCCTTTGTTACGATAAAAATTATTGGCAAATTATAATCGATATCATAACTATATACAATATATAATATGTACACTATGTACAGGATGAACCGTCACGTTTCTCGGTTTCTAACAAACAATATTGTTTGGTCACCCCTGTTACAAATGCAGAAGGATAGTCCCCTATGAAATATCCAATATGCCTGCTGTCGATTACGGTCTATAGAAAAATTTCACCGGTCATAATATATTACGAACGTCGTATCCGATTAACGCATACGGTTCGCACATACATCACCTGCGGCTTGCAACTATAGGAAAATAACTTTAATGGATGAATCACATTGTACAATTTTTCCGCACAAAAACTGTTAAAGTAGATAATTATAACCACATAAATTACTTTTTTTCCCTTAACACGATTTAAGAGATTAAAATACGGTATCTTGATCTATATATCTATATAAGAAAATACAACTTTGTTAAATACATTATTGCCATGGGTCACTTAAACAAAAGTTTACGATTTTGTATGGGTTGTTGTTAAAAAGTAGTGCAATTGAAAAGCAAGTGTCATGTAAACTCATCCATTTATTGTTGTTGTATTGTGTACGATTGTATAATAGCTATCATTAATAAACTTTAAATTTGAACCTGACAATTAAACTTTGATTAAAACAAATAAGCACAAAATCATAATACGCTATTATTATGGTCATTAGTAGCAACACAACATGTTGGCCGGTGATCATAAGCTGTAAAGCAATAATTAGCAAATGAGTCAAAATTGTAGTCCATATTAATATTTAAATAATTTATTGTTAATCTCAACAATGTATAAGCATGATCATTACTCATTAATACCTAGCTTTAGGTAAGTAGGAGTATAATTAATATTAAATTATACATTCAGTATTCGTATATAATGAAACACACGAAACTTTTTCAATATTGTCTTATTGGTTGCTTCTTTTCGCTAAGTATGTTTAATATCAGTGGAGTTAACATCCTACACCTATTGTATGCCCTCAATGATTTGAGTTAGTACATAGTTTATTGTAAATTGGTAAAACTTATATGTGACGTGGTATGCATTTATACGTTATTTTTTGATTTTAAATCGTTAATTATATTGGCCATCCATTTTTCTCACAATATGTTATACAGTGTTAAATAATGGTGCTAAACAGATAAACTACAATAAAGCTATTATAACTTACATAATAATGAGATATCCCAAATGGATGGAGAAATGTATCACTATGATTTTCATACGAACATATCGAATTCAAACTCAATTTATGTAAATTAAATAGATATGAAACATTTGTAATTTAAGTACCAAAATTATCTCGAAAAAACGTGTGACGCACATATTTAATTTTATATATGTGTGTTTCTAATTTTTTAATACAACAAACGATATTATCATTGTTGAAAACATTCAAGACATTCGTAAGAAGTTTTTAATATATTTATATACATGTATATTAGTGTATATACTATTCATTTATATGTACCTATATATTGTATTAAAAGTGAACACATTGTAAATTTTCTTAAAGGTTGAGATTTCGAAAACAACATGAACAGACTAGAATCGTTAACATATAGGTCTAAAGTATATATATATATAGTTATATATTTTAATAAAGTCATAAAAGTGCATGTACAATTAGTAAAAAAATGTATTTAATCATGAGATAAGTATTTTTTTTATAATAAACATAATATATTGAAACTTAAGATTGAGATCACAAATAGTAGGTAAATTAGTTTCATTATCAGTTATTAATAAAGTAGATGTAAAAATAACATTTAAATTTAAATATTAATGACAAAATAAATATACTCTGGCAAAATTGGAAGAAAACAATTATTAATATAATATATATTATTGTTATTATTATTATTATTATTATATGCAAATTCACGCTTAACTATTACAATAAAATATTATAAGTATTATTATAACTCATTTGAAAACATTAAAAATTAATCTACCAATTACCAACAATAATTACCAATAGCTAAGACCCAAATTTATTTCATTTTGTGCCTTTTATTTATCATAAACATTTTAAAATATTAAATCTAATGTTTTGATTAAGTTATATTTTTACCTAACTTAAAAAATAAGTTAACATATATATTGGCACTTATAATAACCCCTGGAAATCCTTTTCCCGTGATTGTCTTTACCCTCAATTGTTTCTTCTTTTGTGGTCATATTTATACTATTTGGTAATTAAAATGTCCTCTCAGATAACACTTTTCATCGATTAACATATATTGATTTAATCTTTTATTATTAATAAAGTTCGAATTTTCAGTACCTATCTTAAATGTTGTACTAAATTATCTTTAATATAAATTAAAATTAAAAAGGCAACTTTTTACTTACCTACCTAGTACCTACGCATTTACAACTACTATAACATAATTACCTTATTAAAGTTTATGAACAAAGAAAATTGTAAAATTCAGATTACGTTATTAACTAAAAAAATTAAATTAAAAAAAAAATTGAATAAGGAATCATTTTCAAACCTTATTATTAAAATTTATTTTTAGCCAAAAAATGAATTAAGTAATTGAATTAATAGTTTTCATTACTACCCACACTACTTTTTATATATAATTTATAAATCAATTCAATACAATGATTTAACACACGCACACGTTTGAAAAAACCTACAACTAAATTCAAAATATGTTGATGGTCTGTTTACAAACTACAATACAAGGCAATTTTTTTAATAGTACCTAAATTAAATACGCATTTGTAGTTAATTCATCAGACAAAATTTAAGCATTTTTATGATTTATAAGCAATTTATTGTTAAATTGTAAATATAAGAAAAATCGGTGATGCGTATCGAGTTTAATACTTTTAAATTATGAATTATCACATTAATAGTCAGAATATCAGATAAATATATATTAAAGGGAATGATGAGCCTATTATAAAATAACTTGTCTATTATAAATATGATATGCTTTGCGCGCACTTTGCCCTGTATTAAGAGTAAAGAGCTAATGTCGTGGGAATAAAATTAATGGTTGATTAAAAACAAATAGAATTCAGATATGAAATGTAAACATTGCCTATGCAGCAACGAGTTCTACCAAACAATGCATTTATCAACGGGATTCATTCGAGATCCAGACGGACATTTATATGCTTTGGCAAAATCATCGGAATTCGACAAGGGACCCCAAACTCGTGTGGGCCCAGGCGAGTGTACGGAGGATCTGACTTTAGTCAGTGCATCTTCTGGTCGCATTGAACCACACCAGATTTGGGCGTAATTTAAAAAGAACAGTTGGTCGTGGGTCATGTCAATGCCAGGAAGTAATGGTTCTTCTCCATGTTTGGTCACCCATTTCTTATAGGCCTAAAAACAATTCACTCATGACATATTATAATATTTATATACTGGGTTAGCATGATAATGACAAGGATTCGGATTTTAAGGAAATACAAACAATAAAAAGCACTTAAAACATGAAAAAGGACAAAAATATGATTT